AGATAGATAGATAGATAGATAGATAGATAGATAGATAGAGAGAGAGAGAGAGAGAGAGAGAAAGAGAGAGAGAGAGAGAGATACTCTGAAAGGGATATAAGAACATAGAAAGGGAAAGTGTGTACCTTGATGCGAATGTAAGGGAACAAATAAAACTCCGTTTCCTCCAAACTCCTCAAACACAAAGGGAATCACATTCGAGGACAAGGGAAGAAAGTCTAAATATAACACACCAGAGAAGAACAGCACTCTTCTTTTTGAAAAAAAAACAACAACCCAAAAAACAAAATACAAACTGAAACTCCTTCCTTCCAAACGACCCCCAGAAAAAAAGGCCCAACAAAAAATCCGTTCCTACCTCTTTCCTCCGGCAGGAGTTTGATTACGTAATCGGACACCTTAAGGCATACAGCCGAACAGCACACTGAATTCATTAAAGGGTTCATGTTTACCTTCAGAAAAGAGATTTCATTAAGTTCCCACTGTTTATCTTTCTAATGCACGTCACCTGAGCGCATGCAAATATCGTGCACAATGCTCGGGGAGAGGGCGGATCACAGCCGGGCCAGCCAGGTAGGAGGTGAGACCAGCCTGGCAATATTCTGCATGCGACCTTTGTTCCTCGACTTGGTCTGCCTGCCACTAACTAAAAAACGAAAATAAATAAAAAATACAACAACGAAAAATATACGAAAAGAAAAAAAAGCACCTACAACAAGGATACCTCCCGCCCCCTCTCCCTCCCCAAAACGAAATTTCAATTCACTAAATGTTGGCAAGTTATAAGCTGCTCTACCTATTTTTTTTCATTGGGAGGGAGGGGGGGGGGTTAGCAATAATAGCAATAAGCAAATGGTGTAGTTTCCGTTGCAAAGGTCTGGGTTCAATTCCTAGATCGACACGACTTGATGATCACCAAAAGCGTGAAGGGAATATCACAAGACGAGAATCAAATGACGTAAACACAAAGCGGACAGAATTGTTTTTGTTTGCAGGATTGCGAGCTCCAAATTATAATCCCAGAACAATGCAGTTTAGAAATAATTAAATGGGAAGCTTAATTCGAAAGGCGAGAAGAGATGGATTTATTTCTCAATTTGATGTAATCTAAATATGGTAGAACATAATATTTATATGAGCTATTTTGGGGAAGTATTTGATTGCATTCTGCCTCGTCCCTGGTCTTTATCACAGACAACTGTGTTGTAGTGGTTAGACTCTTTGCCTCGCTTGCGAAAGACTAGAGGTCAATAATATTATTGTCCACAACTAGAAGTACTATAGGAACCTGTCTTAGACGACCGCCCATTGTCTAATAGAAAAGTATCCGCCTTAGACAGGTGGAGGATTTATAATATTATAGTGTCATAACATTTAAAAGAACCCCCCACCC